ATTTTTACAGCCGTAAATTTAGAGACGTAAAATGTTTTTTCATTCAATGTTATAAAACTTTTACCGGCGTAAAATTTTGAAGATATCTCTGCTCTGAATTTTTTTCGGAAATCTACTGTCTGAATCAATAACTTAAAAGGTTGTCAAAAGCAAAATGTTTTTGAGTTGAAAACATCAAAGTTAACAAAAATTAACAGTCTCTTATGGATTCGGACTTAGACTGTTCTGATTCTGATAAAGAATAATTTGTTGCTTTAGAATATTTGGCAAATCAGAGACAACCACGAGAAGTAAAAGGCCGAGTCTATTCGCACGACCGTCGTGCAAATAACGAAAATAAGCTTATTCGCACGACCGTCGTGCAAATAACGAAAATAAGCTTATTCGCACGACCGTCGTGCAAATAACGAAAATAAACTTATTTGCACGACCGTCGTGCAAATAACGAAAATAAGCTTATTCACACAACCATGTAAAACAATAAAAACGGCTTTTAGCACGACTATTATATGCGTGTATATGTATATTACATGTATACATTTACAAATTAATTGAAATCAAAAGAACAACAACAACAATTCACGGTATAAAATTTGTTTAAAATGCACATCCTATTTGTTTAAAATGCACATCTGACGGAAAAAAGCAGGCAAGGATCCCTATTTTCTTACAAAATTTGCAATTATAGCTACGCCAGCCAATATCTAAGTCCACCATTAAAATTTTTTAGCGATGGTGGAAGTCTAATGTGGCAGTTAACAGAGAATTCCAGTTTTTTTACTACAGCATTCGTAAAAAAGTTATGTCTTTTATCATGTTTCAAAAAAACTTCGGCTTCTTATTCAAATTATTCGGCTTGTTCTAAGACTTTACTTAGATCCTCAATAAACTGGTCCGATTTATGACGTTACAAAATTGATTCAATCAATTCTATTAATTGTTTTGTACTAGTTGTATAAGTTCACTGTTTAAGGTCACTACGCACACGGCGAATTTGAAGGGTAACCGTGTTAAAGGTGAAAGTGAAGGGTAGTTTGAACTAAGACTTGTTAAACGTTTGTCGTATATTAGGTGATTAGTGTCTTAACCCAATTTTGCGGTTCGATACTGAATTCTTTCAATTGTATTTATACATTCTCTGCATCGATAAGTCTAGACAAGTATAGTCACTAATATGTTAAGGCGTGATATATATAGTATATATTACGCCGTAAACTCCAAATAGAAAGTTCAAAATAGATTTTATTTTCTGTTATACATTTTGACTTAGTTAATATTAAATTTTAACTTCTATACACTTATATTTGATCTATTTTTATATAATCGCAATTACTGTGTATACTGTGCAACTAATTACTGTGTATATTGTGCAACTAACTGTTTTTTAACTCTAAGTTTGTAATACTTTTTTATTTACATGGGTCAAGGCAATAGGTACCACTTGCTGGTTCTATATTCTATAAACCTATAACATTTAGAGAAAGAGTTATTCAAATAAAGTAGTAATGGTTGAAAGGTACTCAGGCATCCAGTTTTGGCATTCCTAATACAAATCAACTTTTGGCTGGAGTAGTTTTTAAACTTCTAAAATAAAATATCTCTTTATAAACTCATTCAGATTTCAAGAAATGTATAATACGCGCAGCTGCAGAGAAAACACAAGAAAAATGTGTAATAATTATATTCTGGTTAGCAAAACTTTTTTTAAATATCATTTTCATCATCGCCTCGGATATGACTATCTTTACCAACTTGAAACAGAGGAGAAACTTGGTTAAACTTATATAATACCGTTTATACTGATTAGCTTTGATATCTCGACATACTAAAACATAAAAATTTAGTTTGCACACCCATTTCAAATTCTTTTAAAATGAATGCAAGAAAAGGAAATAAAAAATTAATTTTTTATTTACTTTACCTATTGATGCCTTATATATTTTACATCTATCGACTATTGTTCCTTTACGTTTATTTACCATAAGATGCTTAAACCCTAAGCACCTTAGGGTAAAAAACCGTAAAGGAACAATAATATTGGTATTGTAAAACATATAAGGTATCGATAGGTAAAGTAAAAAAAATAATTTATTCTTATTTCATACAGGGAGTTTTGGAGGGAAATAAAAGGAAGTGGGAATTATATCCCAGACCTAATTAACGGGGTGTGGACAGGCGTAATAAAAGGGTTGATGGGAAAAGTTTTTATTTTTATCGGTTATTAATATATATTTTTTTAAACTTTTTTAAAGTTTTGAGATGTAACGTTTTTATTGTTAACAAGTATATCAATAAACGGGGGTAGGGGGTCTTAATACGCTTAGGATAGGTGGCAAAATTTTCAAAAATTAATAAATACCCGCTCCTTAAATAAAATATCTTAGTTAGCTGCATGAATTACAATGCCAATGTAAAGAGTTTTCAGAATTATCAAATATATTCTTTGGAATGGAAAAGCATGAAACGTGAAACCACTCCTTACAATTGTCGCATTTAACCATTTTTTCTTCTTTATTATCAGGAAGACGACATATGCAATATAGTGGTAAATTAATTGGTTTAGGTAGTTTTTTCTTTTATCGTTCATTAGTCTCTATAGGGAATGGCGTTAAGTAATTGTCACTGAAGCATTTTAACAAATGATCTTGCATAAGTTCTTGCTTAAAGCATTTTATGCTTGGATCATAATTGTAACATAAATCTGTTGCCGCTGCAATTGCAAAAAGACCACAATCAAGCCCACCAGATTGTTTTTGGAAATCTTTGAACTGTAATTTCAAAAAAGGTTCTTCGACCATCATGATTGATCCTATTTGCATCTTTCCACTAACACCTAAGTCATAATATAAGGAATCAAAAACATCAACTGAGTTAAGATGGGTACTTGAAAAATTTGAAATGGTAAGCAAATGCATTGCACCATTATGTAAAATTTGAACAAACTTTCCAGATTGCACTCTAAAATGAAGTTTTGACCAAAGAATAGGGTCTTGTAATCCTTTTACATCTGGAAACTGCATGGATAAAAGCTTTTGTGCTTTGTTTATGTGCAAATCAGATAACATCTCGAATGAGTCCTTAATGGAGAATAGTTGAAGATCTATGACAGAGTGTTGCTTTTTTAATAACTGTTCCTTATGAGCAGTTTTGCCTAAAATTCGCTGACACGATTGATGGTAAGGATCATTATACAAACCCCGCTTCCTTTTGAGCCTTGCTTTTTTAATTTTGACATTTCCTACAACTGGAGGGACTTTAGGTAAGCATACATTTGCTAAATTAATAAAAATATTTATTGCTTGGCCGGTGCAGCATTCAGATTTAGTTGTAGGAAGATCTTTGAAGTTTACGCTATCATTTAGAGAAGATTGATTTGGAGATAAAACGCTTCCTTGATTTTGAAGTTGTTCATTTAAATTTAGACTAGATGGTAAAGCAGAGAACAAAGATTCAGAAAAGTTTGGAGAACTGGACATCTCTGGCAAATCAGACATTTCGGGCAACTCTGACGTTTCTAGAAAATCTGACATTTCAGGCAAATCTGAGATTTCAGGCAAAGCAGACACTTTGGGCAAATTAGAGATTTCAGGCAATGCTTGCGCTTCCATATCAGAAATTATAACTTTTTCCCCAGCTAACCACAATTTATAAATTAAATTTAAGGAATCAATTTTTTCTTCAAACTCGTTCATTCCGAGAGTGGATAAATAATCCGAAATTGGTTTACATAGATTCATGACAGTTTTAAATTTCTGATCTTTAGAAAATGGCACTTTTAGTGCCTTTTTTTCGGTTTTATTAGTTGAAAAATGAAAAACATTTTTAGCCTGATTATGCAAACTTCTGGTCTTACGAGAAAGCCAACTTTTTTTTTGATAGCTTAAATGCCATCGCTCTCCTGCATCATCTGCTTTAAAAATAGCATCACCATTTACTATTTTTACTGCCATTGTATGTCGACAAGGAAGTTTCATAGTAACCTGCAAAGGACACGAACATACTTTATTTAACACTAACAAATCTGTGCGAGACTTTTTTAATTCTGCAATTACAATTCCAGCAGCATATGGAGTTAGAACTTTTACAATATCATCTGTAACTACATCTTCATCAGTACCTAATCTATATGGCTCTTTAAAAGATTGATTAAACTCAATATGAGCCATTTGTTCAAATTTACAAGTATGTAACAAAAGGATACCTTTTACTGCCTCTGCTAAAGACATTTTCCTAGACAATATGTTTTTAATTTTTTGGTTATGGGACTCGGACCTGTTATTTGTTGTATTACCAAGATTAACATACTTGATAGTTTCATAGTATGCCCAATACTTAACTTGGTGTGGCAAGCCCCAATTTTTGTTATAGTATGCCATTACAACTTCTGGTGCAACTGTAGCAAGATGACCCAAATTTATATCAAACAATTTCTTTGATTTTGCATACACAAGCAATTTAAATATTTTTTTTAGATTATCTTTTTCTATACTAGCTAAACCTTGTTTATTTAAAAATCTATAAAATGCTTGCAAAACATAAAACTTACACAGTTGGATTTCTGCTGTAGGCATAACCTTGGAAACTGCACCTATTTCTTTCAGGTCCTTGTCAAGAATGACAACCTTTACTTGGTTAAGATTCAGTATAAGTTCAATTTCTGAAAACACATCATGCAGAGTGTTTTCAGTTTCTTGTGCAATGAAAGCATATCCAACAGCCTGACCTGTTCCATTTCCATCCTCAACTAACAGAGTGAATAAAGGCATTCTTAATTTGTTTGTGCAATATGTGCAGTCAATAGCACTTCAGGAAACATATCGAACACCTGCTGCATATCTCCACTTATTAGTAAAAGAAACTGCAGAACACCGTCTGAATCAACTTAAACAGATATAACTGTATCAGGATCTTTTTCACCTGAAATTAAAAATCAAACTTTAACTAAAACTTTTAGATAATATGTAAATAAAATAAATTGATTAATAAAGTGTATTATTTAAACTATATTTGAACTATAACCCATTTAACTTAAAGTACAATAAACCTCTGAATAAATCTCTGAATACATTTAGGTTAAAATTATCAGGCGTTTGCTGCCTCTATATATATACTCTAAATCATAAATTCTGTAAAATACAAAAATTGAAAAAGAAAAGTTAGAGCAGAAGGACATTAGTTCATCGATCAATAAAGCCTCATTTGATTTTTCACAATTGCGTTCTAGTTCAATTTTTTTATTTATGTT